TGCAGGACTGTTGCTAACACAAGATCTAACAAATTCACCTCTATTGTGTCAGTGTAATAAAGCTTGAAGTCTGAGAGAGTTAAAGATTGGTTCCTTCAGTTTTTCTGTTCCTCTTACTGCCTTGGCTCTGATGGATTTTGGAGGTGGCAAATAAAAGGTGCCTGATAATGAAGTGAAAATGAGAGAATAACAGGGACAGAAAGTCTGTGTGAAACAGGAAGAGATGGAGATCAAGCCTGGGAGTGAAAGAAGAAATCCAACAGCTTGAACTGAAACTGAAGACCTGCTAGAACACAAGAGGGAGTCGTGCAGTGCCATGTAACCTTTACTGTCTCTCTGTATCTCTTTAGTTGTTCTTATCTTACATCTGTTTTCTGTCTTTTCCTACCTCTTCCTTAGTGTTATTTATTTCTTGATTTGCTTATCTCATTTCCAGGTTTTGCTCTCTCTCTGCTCTTTCCCATTCTGCCCACCGTCTAAATAAGTAATCACTGTCCTCATTCACACCATCTGGGAGACTTTTCTTGCAGGTGTTCCTGCTTCCACTTTTTAAACAAGCATAGCCATGACCACAACATATTGCTATTTGCTGTGCTGTCTTGTATCACAGATGTACACTGCCAAAGATGCACAGCTGATATTTACAGGTAATGCAGTAAGGGATTTGTAAACACTTATGACTGATAATACTTGGTTATGAAACCTGCTTTCTCTCATGTTCTTTTCAGAATTAGGGATGGGACGATGTGACTTATCAATAGGATTCGATTCAATCACGATAAAACATTTGAGCACTGTTGCTCATCAAACTCTTCTTTTCCCTCAAAATGTTGTCCATCTACCAAATCACATTTTAGTTTTGCATCACAAAGCAATGAAACACACTCAGCTTGTTGGAATCCACAGGAACTGGAGAAATGGGTTTGACAGTCTCTTTCTCTCTCTGCATCTTCCTGTCTTTTACATTCTCACTGCTTCTGTTCGTGTCTGTCCCCTCTCTGGCCTATGCAGCTTCTCCACAGGCTAAATCCTGAGCCCTCGTCTCTCTATTTTTTTCTCCTTTCTTTACCGCATCCATTTCTGCAGCTACTCTGCTGAATCTGTGCCAGGAGTCCCTCTGCTCAGAGCTACAGGAAGGGAGGGAGGGGAGAACGAGGGAGAACATAAGGAAAGTTTCTTCAGACTCTGAAAAAACTTCAGCAGG